TTGCCTAATATTCTTTTGTTACCTTGTGAGCTGTATGTGTGCAGACTACAGAACGTGTCCTGCTAGAATGTCTCTTGTACAGCCTATTAAGAAGGGAATACTGGCCCAACGAGTCAACCCTGTACTCAAAGTTGTATGGAACTAAAAGGGAACGCCTAAAAACAAGTCAAGTTTATCACAAGAACTTGCCTGACTGACTAACTTTTTACCCGACGAGGACATCACACCGAGCCACCATTCGGATAAGGATCATCCGTGGAGAGGTCCCGGAAACCTTAATCAATCGTTAGGTTACATTTGGGCTTCCGGAAACAACCAGGGTGGGGCTTCAAAATAACGAACAATTCGACCCACATGGGGCCGGGGATTAAGTTGTTGGTGGTATCCGTTCTGGCTATGTTTCTCCCTGCATGCGTCAGTGCATTGCTTGCCCGTTGGTCCGTTCGCACATTACCTTTTACTTGGGCACGACCAACTGTGTAGATCCAGGTGATAGAAGTTAAGTGCGATTTTTTTAATGTTTTCTATCCATTCAGAGCAAATGCCACCTGTTGTGATTTCAAGAAGCATGTTCGCGGAGTTTGTTACATTTTTTGCGTGTGTGGCTACTTTTTCTGCTGCCTACGCTAGTGCCCTAGAAGTGGCAGTTAATTCCATGATCATGCTTGACATAGCTGCCCGGAAAGCACCACTATCTTCTTTTACTGTTTTCCCCATTCTTTGTGCTGTGTGTGTCCATGTTGACCTTGACACGCGCTTCACGACCAATCAGTGTACATGGTTCATGACATTTCGCGCCCGGGTGATGTGATTATTTATACAGATGGCTCTGTGTTGAAAAGCAGACGACGTATATATGTGATTCATAGCAGAGGCAAATGGACGTCGTTTAGTGCAGCAAAGCCTCGCATACGATATCATAACGTCTAGTTTCAGAATGGAGGTGGAGGCAGTCTCTGCTGCTTTCCGCTGGCTTGAGAATCAGCTGTAGACACATGCGGTGATTTTAACAGACTCACAGAGCATGTTGAGAAAGTTGAAGACAGGCATGCTTCGTGCAGAGTGGCAAGCATAACTTCAAAGGTCGGGTAGTTAACATCCTTTGGATATTTTCTTCAGGTTATGCCGGTGTGGTGGGAAATGAGCAGGCAGATGGACTGACCAGCTCTGCACCACTTGGTGGTGAATTGATGTATGACAAGCTAGATATTGTGAGGGCCCTTTGGGAACAGTGGGGAGGCACAGATAGATCATTATGGTCTGAGGAGAATGGCGCTGCAGGCAGTTATCAGGGGATCTGACCTTTTTGACTATCGTCCTGTCCATCTTTTCCAGCATGACAAGACCAAAGAATGTAGACTGTCTCCTTCTAGTGATGGCAATCAGTTCCTTCCGTAATTCAGTTTCTTTCAAGCATCTTCATAACGACGCTCATAGCATTGTACAAATCATTGCAAAACGGAAAATTAAACAGGTATTGCATAAACACTAGAAATATTTTAAAATGAAGGACTCAGAAAGTTAATTCATTGTCCAATTGTGTCATATACGGCTCACAGTCTATTTGCCAATTCCGCTTTATCCTGTGCAGTCGCTTAGATATGGATGGAATACAGCCCAGCACCCTTGGCTTCTCTCGTCAACGTTATCCTTAGGATTTCCCTTGGACGTCTTCGCTTCTCTTGATTTCCAATTTTAGTGCCTGACTGGTGATTCTATGCTCGACTCTTCTCAGACGAGTGTATTAGAAGAAAAGCCTAAGGGGGTGGTTGTATTAAAGGAAAGGGAGAGACACAATAAAGGATAACATAACAATTTACTCCTTGAACCTATCTCTACGCCAAACCTAGAAGAACTCCGACAAACATTGTTGTGGTGAGTGTGAGCCAACCCACACAATCTGCCTCAGTAACAAGAAAAAGATTTTTTTGTTAGACGGGGGCTGTGACCAAATGTATCTTAACCCAGATAGGATATATTCTGTATGAAGCCTTATCAGTAGTAACAGTAAAACTTGGCACACAAACTATAAGCCCTAATATGAATCAAAACAGCTGGAACTTTAATTATCACATTGAACATCTGTTTATTTTACATCTGTTTATTATATGAACACCAAACTCCCATGGTTCACAAATTCCAAAACGTTAACAACCAACATCGTGCTCAGACAGGCCACATGCTAAGCACCCTAGCTAACAAGGAAAGAGTTCGTTTCTGCTGCTGAGCCCATGTACAGTGCTGCAGCCACTGATCAGAATCTCCTGCCCCTGAGCGACTAGCGGATCAGAAAGCCAAATAGACCGTTTTCCATGTGCCTTGGTCTTTTTAAGACTTCCTGAGCTGCCAGGTTTTGTCGCAAGTGCAATCAAACCAAATTTATAATGGCTGCCATTAGCCTGTTACACTAGAGTCTTCTCTGTCTTATAACTCTTGATACTAAGGGTTGCCTTGACATGTCTCATTTATTTACTCCTCTTAAATCCATACAATTTTATCT